CTAACGTGGAACACCCGCCTCCGACCCGGCAGAACAAGCCAGCAATTGTCACTTGTTCTGCTTCTTCTACTTCATCATCATCATCATCTTCTTCTTCTTCTTCATCATCATCATTTTCTTCTTCTTTTACTTCGTCATCATCATCATCTTCTTCTTCTTCTACTATTTCTTCTTCTCCTATCTTATTCTTCATCTTCATCTTCATATTCTTCTTCTTCTTCATCATCATCATCATCATCTTCTTCTTCTTCTTCTTCTTCATCTTCTTCATATTCTTCATCATCATCAGCAGCATCTTCATTTTCTTCTTCTTCTTCGTCTTCATCTTCATCATCTTTTTCTTTATCTTCATCTTCTTCATCACCATCATCATCTTCTTCTTCTTCTTCTTCATCATCTTCATCATCTTCATCTTCATCTTCATATTCTTCTTCATATTCTTCTTCTTCATCATCATCATCATCTTCTTCTTCTTCATCATCTTCTTCTTCTTCTTCTTCATCATCATCTTCTTCTTCTTCATCCTCATCATCATCTTATTCTTCTTCTTCTTCATCTTCATCTTCATATTCTTCATCATCATCAGCAGCATCTTCATTTTCTTCTTCTTCGTCTTCATCTTCATCATCTTCTTCTTCTACTTCTTCTTCTTCTTCATCATCTTTTTCTTGATCTTCATCTTCTTCATCACCATCATCATCATCATCTTCTTCTTCTTCATCATCTTCTTCATCTTCATCTTCATATTCTTCTTCATATTCTTCTTCTTCATCATCATAATCATCTTATTCTTCATATTCTTCTTCTTCATCATCATAATCATCTTATTCTTATTCTTCTTCTTCTTCTTCATCATCATCATCATCTTCTTCTTCTTCTTCTTCTTCATCTTCATCTTCATATTCTTCTTCATATTCTTCATCATCATCAGCAGCATCTTCTTTTTCTTCTTCTTTGTCTTCATCTTCATCATCTTCTTCTTCTACTTCTTCTTCTTCTTCATCATCTTTTTCTTCATCTTCATCTTCTTCATCACCATCATCATCATCTTCTTCTTCTTCATCATCATCATCATCATCTTCTTCTTCTTCTTCGTCTTCATCTTTATCATCACCTTCTTCTACTTCTTCTTCTTCTTCATCATCTTCTTCTTCATCTTCATATTCTTCTTCTTCTTCATATTCTTCTTCTTCATCAGCATCATCATCATTGTCATCTTCTTCATCTACTTCTTCTTCTTTTTTCTTCTTCTTCTTCTCTTCTCCACTTGCTGCCCTCTCGATGGCTCCTCGTCTTCACTCAAGTCGAGGGGATCTTGGCCTGTTTGGACGGCACCAAACAATGTCTCCGTCGAAGCGGACAGGCTGCAATTGGAGTCCTTCTCCGACACGTCGGCCGATGCATTGAAGGTGTGCGTCTCAGTTCCGCCGTCGCTTCAGTCGGTCGGTTGCAAGCCGAGGCTCTATCGACACTTGATTAGTTTGTGTTGCTGCTTGTTCTACCGAATCTGCCAATACATGCTGAATTGAAGGCATCTTCTTCACCCTCGACTACTGAGGCGCATTTGTTTCGTCATCAAGAGAAGCTGGCTTTCGAGGACTGTCTGAATAAGCCATTGTCACGTGACTCCGCACTTAAAGATAAAAGTTGTTTCGACTTATTTCGGGCAATTTTCGCCCCGGCAACTGAAGGAGTGTTGCCATGGTGAGAAGCAAGACAAGTGAGGGCGGTTGGATTGTGCAAACAAGTTGCCGCCTCACTGTCCTTCGATGCTACGATGAACCTGCGCTAAGCTTTCGTCCGTACCGCAGTCACGGACATCGCCAGAACAAGAATGTACACTTTACGAAATAGCGCAAAAAACTAGCCTCAACCACAATATTTACGAGTTATTTCGTAAAGAATAGATTTTCGCAGGGCTTGCTCGTACAATCCAACTGTCTTCACTGCCTTCCGAGACAATTCTCCCTTGGTTGCCGAGGCGACCATTTCACCAACTCCCTTGAACCAAGTTTTCGCTTAAAATGCCAATTCATGTGACAATAATTCATTAAGACATTTTTTCGATAATGAGTAGGTTGTCGAGACTGCCGGTAAATCAGATGCATGAGTTGTATTCACCCTATTTCCTATCATTTTAGGCAAATTCAGTTGCCAGTCCTTCATCAGCTTAAACGAAATAGGGTGAGCACAACTCTTGCATCACATTAAGAAATTCATCGAAGCCCACTTTGGTCTTTACCAAGATCCACGTTGGTGCATTTGTCGTGGGGATGTGGAACCTTGTTGAGACCATTTTCCCACTGCCACTCTGTTCGAAACTGCCAACTTTTACACATTCGCTTATGCTTCCGGCATTTCTGGTTGTGTCGATCTCAAGGCCAGCCTGACCCTCACCGACTTGGTCAGCGAACCAAATCGGGCTCGTCTCTACCGCCTGTTTGCTCGGCGTTCAACCCACCTTCGGATCGCTCAACCGCGTCTTGCCTGCGCCTTCTTGTCTTGCGGACAGACGTACAACTTGATCCGATCGGTGTGTGCTTGTGTGATCCGCAAAGGCTGATCAGTAAGCGAGGCCCGCGATCGCTGGGCCATCGCTTCGGGGCCTCGAAAGTGCAGTTGAGCCATTCAACTGCCGAGGT